TGGTAGTTAAGGTAACCATAGGAGTACCTTTTTCATACCAGTACCCCACATGACGTCACTTTCAAGTCAACTCCAGTCACTTCGCACAGCTACAGCTCAGCATCAGACGGTTGAAAGGCGGCATGTTTCGCTGTTGTTCGCCAGAAAGGAGGCTGAAACACTTGACAGAGAAACTGTTTATAATATAGGTACGTATACATGGCGACTGCAATATTTTTTTAGCAAAATTCGCCTTAACGTTACCTCGTTCAGTTACGGTAGCATCTGTGCGGTTGTATGAGGCATTAACCTTTTTCAATGATCTGTTCTGTTAAGGCTGTGCGGGTTTGCGGAAGCTGAAGCAGTTGGACCCGGAAATCGCAGCTCACAATGATCTTTTCGATGAGTCTCGGCTACATTTCCAGCGTTCCATGATAACAAATGAGGAGAATTTGGCACTTAATGAGAAAATTGAGAAGCTTCTGTTCCAGCTCTCCCCATACGTAGAGCATTTTGCTTGCCAGCAAGTACTAGAATGGCTCGTGTTCAGGTACCAGGCAAGTTTCCTTACACGTTCGAGTTCTTTTTAAACTTCTTTTATTTGCCACATTGCCGACCGCCGTTCTGCTAGGATCTCCCCATCACCTCCACAAACGTGTTTTGATTATATGAGAGCATGAAATAGTTTCCAAATGGACCACTTGGAACAGAGCAAGGAGGGAAATGTATGACACATGTGTGTCACGAGGTCTAGGACCTGCTAAAGCTGGAGGGGAAACGCCAAGCGAAGGCACGTAATCGAGAGAAGAGTGAAACCTCAGGACTTGACATGAAAAAAAACCAAAATTAGCTGTGGGGGCTTGGTGTAGTTGAATGGGGAGGGTACACGAAGGCACGGCAAAGTAATCCGTTCCCCTCTCAAGGCTAGAGTACAGCGTCGTGATATTGGAATAGTGCCGTCACTTACGAAATTCTCTTCTCTGGTGCGACCACCCCCCCCCCCCCCCACGATGGGATCATCCCAGCGAACAATCCCACTGGCTACCACGCGCATCTTCGTCTCAGGGTAATAGGAGCTGGTTTAGTTGCGACGCCGAGTGGCCTTCTCAACTATGTCTGACCCAGCAGTGTTCTGAAATCAGTATATATCCCAGAAATCCTCTCATTAACTGCGTTCAGATTTACGCCTACAACGCAGAGAGCATGATCCTGACGTTTCTTCCATTCCACGAAACTAACTTTTTTGGTCGCATGTTATCTATACTCGAGTACAACTTTTCGACATCAAAGGATTGGGCTTTTCTGGAGGGTTTTTGCAAAAAAGAATACCCTGTTCCATTCAGTGCCGTGAGTTGTTTTCTTTCATTCGGATGATATCTTTGAATAGTGCTCTCCGTTTCAGATTGTAAAGAACACACTTTCAAGTACCCATTCGTTAATTACTCGGATTGGTGATCATCTCAACCGGGGAATCCAGGTGATAGTTTTGTAGTTCTCATTCAGAGCCAAGAAAATCAGCAAAGTAAACGTTTCAGTTGGTGGGAGAAGAATTCTTGGAAAAGAGATGTCATATGTTATTCACATTCTACACGAAACTTCTTATTGCTGTCCTAGAGGAATCCACAAAGATTGACGATATGTTGCTGGCTAAAATTATCCCGCTTATCGCTATTGGGTTGAAGTGAGTTCCGCTCTCATCTCTTTCGAGCTGCATTCACACAGTCTTGTTCACTGCAGATGATTGGCGTTTTAGGGTTTGGGGGGGGGGGCGTGGGTTGAACGTAGCCGGTTTTCACCAAGCCTGGTGTCGTGCCGACAGATCCACCTCCTCCCTGAAGCACCTTGCAGCTCCTCAGCGATAGGAGGCTAGTTGAATGCTAAAATTGGTGTAGCATTCTGTATGAGGAATCGTCGAGTGTTACGGTAACAGACGCTTTTACAAGGATTGATTATTCTGAATATTGCTTATTTTAGCTTCTTAGTTGGCGATGGCTGATGTCCCAATATGAGCAATCTTTAGCGGTTTAGGGTTTTTTTATTTTTGTTTTAATGTCCAACCTAAGCGAATTTTAGCGGCTAGTAATTTGTACCGTTTTTTAGAAGTGCTCTTCCATCCTTCCGCCAGGCATCGTTGATGGTAATTTGTCAACTGGCCACCGCCGTGAAATTGACACCAGACGTTGTGGCGTCACTCACGAAAGTTGTTTTGATGGTATGTATTTACCTGCTCCATTAGAGCTCTATTAGACTGCAGGAACGTTAAGTTCGTCGATAAAAAGTTGGCCGGCTTGGGAAGGGCAGTTCGCTCTTTTTTCGTTAGTTCTTTTACTAGTTCATGTTGATTAATGGGTCTCATATTAGTGGGACTATATTCTCTTGTGAAGCTGCAAAATGGAATGAGCCACTTTGGCTGCACAGTCTTCGCTGAGTACCATTTACTGCGCCCACCAAGTCTAGCACCAAAATTTGAAATATAAAAAGCTTTGTGCAAACAAGGCAGATTCTCGTCTTGTGTGGATTTCTTCCATAAAACACTTCATAACAAATTCATTCCGGTTTCAGATTCGGTCGTATAGGTTTCGTAAGTGGCAGTGAGGACAAGTCCAGCTATTGGGTGAAAACGTTACAAAATATGCCCCTCCCCGCTCAGTGCTTTCTCCCCTTGTACGACCTCTCTTCCCCATCCCTCATCCTACCCACCAGCTTTCCACCGCTTTTCCCGAGTTTTTAGTTTTTTTTTTGGAATTTTTCAACTTCTCCCCAGAAAGCTACCGTCGAGCGGGGGGGGTGACGACCAAATACGACTCTCTTCGCTGAGGATCCCTCAATACGAGCGTTGGCAGCGCACCAGACTGACCAAACGGAGCTCTTCAAAAGAATAACATTCTGCAATGTGAAGGCTGTACAAACAAGTTCCAGGGCTAGCGAAGCACACCATTCCTTCATTCTTCTTTATTCCTTCTTTTACTCCCCTCCTTTTTCAATTCTGTCCCTTTTTCTTTCCTTCA